CAGTTTGTTGAGGAAGGCACTGTAGAGCAGGCAATCTCTGAGCTGAGTCTTGAGGGTCAAGTTTAAATTTGATTCATATGCTGTGTGATGCACACTTCCCAGGGCAATGGTAGACAAATACTGGTCTTCATGTCCTGAAAATTTAGGCTTACTAGGGACCTGAAGGCCACTATTTCCTCTTATGGTCAAGACCCTTGGTAAAACATCCCAGTTCAAGGACACATAGCTAGTTATTTATTTGATAAATCATTCATTCATTCTTCAGTATTTACTAGGAACTTACCAGGCTAAATGGGAATCCAGTGCTCAAACTATGCGTTACCTACCCTAAAGGAGCTCACATTCTCAAATAAATAGTTGATAGACAACAAACATGAACCCAGATCCTGAGCCTTCCAGCCTAAGGTTCCTTCCCATTCACATTAGGACCTTTTCAGGCTAGAGCACTGAGTTCATTTCCTATAGGAACCAAGTCATTTGAGTTACTTTCCCCACCTTTTACGCATTTATTCATACACTGTAAGCACCCTGCAATCCAACCCCCGTTTTTGCTTCACAACCTGGACCTACCTAAACACTATGTATATTTTTAAATGACAGCACTGCCATTGATACAATGACTTTTGTAATCTGCTCTGAAACCTACTATTGTATATGTCTGTCCATGTTATTCTGTCTCTCTTCCCAATTTCTTGGCCCTGAGCTTCATTCTGTTGTTATTCCCTGCACCCACCTGCCCTCCCCATTCCTTCTTCCTCCTCCTCCATCGCTTGGACTACTCCCCAACCTACCTTATCCTTATATTTATGTTTGAATGCATACACTCCTTAGTCCAACAAATTGCATACTGAACCTGGCCACACACCTGTGGAGGGGTTACCTTCTTGTCTAGGAGGGCCAGGGCCGAGAGAGAGCATACCTGCCATGGGTTCCCTCTCTTGGTTGGTGGCCTCAACATCCTCAGAGATCTTGTATCCATTAGGAACCACAGCGCCAGCGTCTGAAGCCGACAAGCTTTTCAAGGGCCTAGAAAAATGTTTAAGACCACCCACCTCCCTTTTTTTTTCTTTACAGAATCCAAAATACAGAAAGAAAACTATAAAATCTAAATCAGTAAGTAAAATTAAATGTCTATCAATGTAAATTTGTATCAACTTTACTGTTAAAGTTAATTGTAACAGCAACTGCCATATAACTATAAATCCTTCTTCACCTATTAACAGATTGCCTGAGTTTTAACTAAGCACAAGACGACCCAGCAAAAGATTACACTTCCCAACTGCTCTTAAAGCTAGATGTGGTTATGTGACTAACTTCTGAATGAGAAGTAAGTACAAGTATCACAAGTATCACTGCCACTTCTGGTTATGCGGTGGATGCGGGCTCTTCTTTATTCCTCCTGTGGCTCACTGACCAGGGATATTGCATTGGAAACTCCAGGGGGAACATTCGCACTGCAGCCTGTGTGAGTGGTGCTCCCGGCCATCATGCAAAGTGGCAGTCCTGCCCCTGGTTGCAATGCAGACCTTAGAACAAGTTGTTATTCATAAACATTTGATTACATTTTACAAAAATTTGTAAGTTTGATTTTCTTACTTTGCAAACATTCTGTGTGTGGACGGTGATTGCCAGGAAATCAAATCTTGTCATAATTTAAGTAGACACACCCAAATGATTTCAAAGTAAGGTTTTAAAATCCTTTCAAATAATTTTTAACAAAAAGATAATATTTGATATGAGATCTAGAAATATTTTAACATGGAATAGGACCTACAAAATATATGTACCCAGGACCAGTGAAAACCTTAGAAAGGCCTTAATCATTCTGTCCCCCAAGCTAGAAATTTCAGAATCATTTTGTATATTTTATTAGTAATTTATTGATTCAGTAGATAGTAAGACATTACTTTCAGACAATATATATAGGGGAGAAGAGTATTAAGACTATGGTCAGACATATCTAGGTTTGAGTCCTAGTTCTGCTAGTTACTAGCTGTGTAATTTTGAAAGGTATCTACTTATCTGTAAAATAAGTGCAATGATAATACCCATCTCTAATATAATAAAGAATTTGACTGGCCTGTGTCCATGATTCCTAGGAGGATGACTTGAAACTCTTGGAATTTCCTAAGTAATTGGAGAGCTTTGTGGTCATGAGCTTTTTGGATCATAAATCTGATTTCCTGAGAAGAGATGAGATGGCCCAGGATGGGGGCTGGTCACCAGAAAGACCAACCATGTGATTAAAGGGTTGGGGCTTTGAACCAGTCTGATCTCCATGGAGAAGAAGAGGACTAGACACTGAGTTCAATCGTGTGGCCAATGATTCAATCAGTCAATCCTATGTAATGAAACCCCAACAAAAACTTTGGACACCAAAGCCCAGTAGAGCGTTCTGGTTGATGAACACATCAGTGAACCAAGAGGGTGATGTATCCTTCCACAAAAGAAGCTGGAGCAATGGGACATTCACAGACAAAACAAAATGAAACAATCATTACTAAAGTTTCAAAACTTGGGTAAAAACACAGGAGAAAATCTTCAGCATCTAGAGTTAGGCAAAGACTTCTTAGACCAAAAACATAATCCATAAAAGGAAAAGTGGATAAATTGGACTTAACCACCATTACAAACTTTTGATCTGCAAAAGACCCTATTAAGAGGATGAAAATACAAGCCACCAAGTGGGAGAGACTATTTACATACTACAATTCTGACAAAGGACTAGAGTTTGGAATATATAAAGAATTCTCAAAACTCAATAGTAAAAAGCAGAATTAATTAGAAAATGAGCAAAACACATGAACAGACATTACACTAAAGAAGATATACAGATAGAAAATAAGCAGATGAGAAGATATTCGATATCATTAGTCATTAGGGAAATACAAATTAAAATGACAATGAAATACTACTAAACACTATCCAAATGGCTGAAATATGGGAATGTAATTAGTACAGCTACTCTGGACAGCAGTTTGGCAGTTTCTTGAAAAACTAAACCCATACCTACCATAACCTAGCAATTGCACTCCTGGGCATTTATTCCAGAGAAATGAAAAGTTATATTCACATAGAAAACCTGTACACAAATGTTTGGAGCAGCTTTATTTAGAATAAAACTGGAAAGAACCTAGTTGTTTTTCAGTGGGTGAATGGTTAAACAAATTGTGGTACATCCATATCATGGAATGCTATTAATCAATAAAAATAAATGAACTACTGATACATGTAACAACCCGGATAAGTCTCTATAAAATTATGCTGAGTAAAAAAAAAAAACACCAATTCTTAAAGTTTACTATATTGTATGATTCCATTTATATCAGATAAGGGTTACCAGGAGTTAAGCAGTGGTGTAGATATAAGAGAGCACCATGAGGGATCCTTATGGTGATGGAAATGTTCTGTATTCTGACTGTACCAATATCAATATCCTAATTGTGACAATGGCAAGGGTTACCACTGGAGGACCCTGGGTAAAGGGTACACAGGATCTCTGTATTATTCCCTACAATTTTCTCAAAATAAAAAATTTAATTACCCTGGGTAAAGGGTACACAGGATCTCTGTATTATTCCCTACAATTTTCTCAAAATAAAAAATTTAATTAAAATATTACCTGTGTGGTTTCTTTTTCATCTGAACCCAGTTCGAATGCAATACCCATCATCAGATTGGGGGATTTCTCTTCTTGTCCTAGTTTGCTGGGAGTTTAGTCAGAGTAGGTGTTGATTTTTACCAACTGCTTTTTCTGCATCTATTGAAAAATAATCATATAGTTTTTCCTCCTTTACAGTGAATTACATTGTTTGATTTTAGAGTGTCAAATCAACCTTGCATTCCTGGAATAAATATTACTTCATCATGATGTATTTAGTCCTTTTATAGATTGCTGGATTCATTTTGTTAATACGTGTTTAGGATACTTTTGTCCATATTACAAAATGTCTTTCAGATAATTATTGGAGCAATCAGTGTTACCAGTGTCTAAAAATAGAAATACCTGAGTAAAAGTAGTAAAATATTAAAATTTGATAAGGCTGGATGGTGGGTAAACAATAAGTTGTTACATTATTCTCTATACTTTTCTACTTTTTTCTTTAATCTTCTCATTGAACAATCACTGGCTGCAGCTTGGAAAACAGATTCAGAGGACAGATGAGGACATAAAACCTGAGTTCCATAAGTAATTAGGGTGGGACAGCCTTGTGTATCCTCTAGCAATGGGCTTAACACATAGTTAGTACTCCGTAAAAGTTTATTGAATGAATTCAGGTATGTTTAAATGGCACTTCAGTACAACAAATGGATGCTGTGGCCCAGATTCACCCTCAAGACCTAGCCAGTCACTGCCCCAGCTTCTGGGAGTAGGTTGCACTTGGCTCATACTTCCTCTCTAGGAATTGCCTTCTACGGAAGGAAGCAGCCTTGCGAAAAGTTAGTTCCTCTCCAGATTGAGCCTCTATCACTGGTCAATGCAAGGATATAAATTTTGGGATCCCTTCTTTAGTTTGGAACAACTCTGAAAGGTCATCCCAGGCTAAGGGCATTCTCTGGGATTGGCTGAGGCCTTTTCTAAGCTGTTTCCCAGTTCAACGTCTCCCTCTGCCTAATTCAGCTTCCATCATTCTTTTACAGGCATAGTCCTGAAAGTAACCCCTCCCGCCCCCACATGTAAACCTGCACGTCTTCTCCTCAGAGTATCCTTGGGGAACTCTATCCAGGACACACACTACCCTACTCTTTTTCTTTTCATAGCAGTTATCAGTATGTGAAATAGCCTTATCTATTTAACGCTTTAAGACTTGCTTATTGTCTGCTCTAAGAATGTAAACTTCCCAGGACAGATTTTTTTTTTCCATACACTGCAACACTGTATCAAACGCCTAGGGCAGGGTCTGCAGAAGGCAATCAGGCCCTAAATACTAGTTGTTGAAATGAATGGCAGAGACACACCTTGTTGGGTCTTGGGCTCAGTCTCCCAAGAGCCTGTAACAAGCACTTAGCGGTGGCTCGCGAAGTGCCCCGAATCCCCGCCTCTGTCGGCACGCCCTCCGGCCCGGACAGGGGGCGGGGCCGGGGACGCCGCGGCCGGCGCGATGAGACAGCCGGCGGTGCAGCTGGTATGGCTGAATCGGATGCGGTACGCCGAGCTACTGGCGCTGCAGGAGCGCTGGCTGCGGCAGCTGCAGGCCAAGCCAGGCACCGCGGCCCTATCCGGAACGGAGGCGGGGGCGCTCCTGCTCTGCGAGCCTGCGGGGCCCGTGTACACGGCCGGGCTGCGCGGCGGCCTGACGCCCGAGGAGGCGGCGCGGCTGCGGGCCCTAGGCGCCGAGGTGCGGTCCACAGGCCGCGGTGGCCTAGCTACCTTCCACGGCCCGGGCCAGCTGCTCTGCCACCCGGTGCTCGACCTGCGGCGCCTGGGCCTGCGCCTGCGCACCTACGTGGCGGCGCTGGAGGCGTGCGCGGTGCGCCTCTGCGAGCTCC